TTAATGAAAAGGTGGGAGAGGAAGAAAGACTTCTTCTGTGGAAGACCACCCTGCTGACTTGACGCTCCTTGTGCAAGATGGTGACAGTGATGGCACCTCTTATAGACCACAGGTTTGCGTCCTTGATGCCGCTGCTCTGTTCATCCGCTCTGAGAGCAAGGGTCACTGTGATGCTGGAAATGCTTTTGACCGCCTGATTCCTCTTCTGCAGTGGTCGTACTTACAGGATTATTGTTACCCTTGGAGCTGGGCTGGTGTTTTGTGCCAGCTGAGTATTCTAGGAAAATGTGGGATTACAATAGAAAAGGAGGCAAGAATGCGTTGCAGAGTGAGTGACAGGAAACAATATTTAATGTTTCCAGTACTCTGCTAGTTAGACTAACCAAGTGGAAAATATTTGCTATTCTAAGAGTTAGTTCTCTTTTAGAAACGTGCAGTCTTGTTTTCATTTTTCGGAAAGGTAAAGACCTCTGTAATGTCATTCTCCATTCTTAAGCTCTTGTTGACTTGACTGTGTCTATTTAGATTCTGCCTGCTTTCAAATACCAAATAATTCCTATATCAGTGGTTCTACTGCTGTTGGCTTTGCCGCTCCTCCTTGCTTCCAGCAACCCTGGGAAGGTGAGGATTTGTTATTTGTTGTGGCCTTGATTGTAGTGTTGCTTTTCGTGGTAGGGAAGCCACCGGTGCTCCATCCAAACTGAGCTTAGCGCTTGAGTTCTGCCTGGGTCTGCTGTTGTGGCTGTAGTCCTGTTTGTGCCAGGGCAGTGCAGAGATTAGACTGTCCTACTGCAGGCCCTTGCTTGGTTTCTCACTTGTGTAACCTGTCTGGGGAGTCTTGGTTTTGCAGTTCTGGATTGAAGTAGATAGTGTTTCTGAATTCTGATTCTTAGCTGGAGGCTGCATACTTAGCTCTGGTTTTCTGATTTCTTCTTTTAACTGATTGAAAAAATTGATGCTACTTCTCATTTTTGTCATTGCAGAGATCTTTTTTCCTGTCTGTTTGTCTGTTCTTTCCCAGCCTTTCAGTTGTCTACCGGGCTTAGTGTTCCAGGAACAAAACTGTCACCTTTACAGATGCGATATGCAAAGCACGATGGATAAATAACGGAATCTGTGTTTGTGTTGCCCTATAAACGTTGGGGTTTAATTACATGAAATTAATGTCCCAAAAGGCAGCCTGTTCACTGGTTGGGTTTTTATTACCTTTTTTTAATCCCTTAAGATGAACAAAAATGCCAGAGTTCACACAGATAACAGACCTCTGCTCTGCATCCTGATGTGGTCAATTTAAGACTCTTCAGCCCAAACCCAAGTCTCATATCCCATGTGCTGAGAAACGGACTGGATTCTGAAAAACATCCTGAAAACAAAACAAATGCTTTCCTTGGAATTCAGCTGTCCCAGGCGATCGTCTGCTGTGACCCTTTCGAATAGTGCTTGAACTCCGCGACTGCTGTCGTGACTGACAACGCACAATCCCAGTATCTGCTTATTTAAGGGGCAGAATTTGCGTAACTAGTCAGTGCAGCCCAGCTCATCGCAGAGAACCCTCCTCCCCTCTGCCCACCCTGAAGTTTTAGATCGTGACAGAAACTGCTTAGCATGTCAGTGGGCTGCAAAGCTTCGAAAATAATTTCCGAGGCTATATAACTGTCAGAAGAGAGCACCTGTCTTTGAAGAGCTCTTTGGCTCAGATGCGAAGTGACATTTGGACAACGCACAGGACTTTCCAGATAGAAGATGGACCTGCCTGAATCTGCTTTTATTTTCTTAAGTTCCTGTCTGAGGATGCTTTGCTGCAGAGCTGTGGCAGTTTGGGAATTGCCTGCTCGCTTTGCAGTTGCAAGTTAATGCACATTTAAAATAAAGGGCAAGGACCTGGAGGTTTATCTGCAGGCATGCTGAAATAAAACTTTGCAACATTTCGGGCTTCCCTCTTGTCCACGTGTGTAGCCCTGAGAACAGACACGGCAACCAAAGTAGCTCAACTGCTTTGCACACTCTGGAGGAGGCTTCTTTGGGTTTCTTGTTGACAGGTTCCATGTGAAATTTAAGAACTGCCATAGGGAGGAAGCTGCATTTGGATTGTGTCTGTGGTTGTAATGTGTTGCACTGTTCTAAAGCCTTTTTCGGATTTAGTAGTTTTCATTGGATAAATGGCCCCAAAGTGTTGCGTGTTTGTGTTTTGGGTTGGTTTTTTTTGCTTCAGACAGCTCTTGTTGTGTGTTTTAGCAACTGTTGTGTGCCGCTAATGCTGTGTAGAGGCACTGAAGTTCTGCTAGAACAAAGTGACTACTCTATGAAGAGATCAATGTTCCTGTCCAAAATCTGCTTCCTAAAAGGTGCACAAGAAATCTTTTTTTGATTGCGAATCAGGCGTTAATTCAGATATATGTTCTCATTGCCAGTTGTTGCTACATGTACAGTTATGGCTGATTCTGGGCTGCCTTTTCTTCTTCCTGCTCTTGTAGGACAGTGTGTGCCAGGATCCAAGCTTCAGCAGTTGTCCGTTGGACACACGAGTCCGACACGCACCTTTTGGGTTGCAAAATGACAATTATTACCTAACAGGGATACCACCAGCGGGCTTCTTACTTTTGCTGGGACACCACTCCTCAGCGGTTGTTATCTGAGCCAGTACGCAGTGTAATTTCTCCCAAGTGGCTGTGGTACAGCCAAAAATCACTTGTGTCCCTCTTAGCCTTTGGCAAGATTGTTTCTGTCAGCTTGCTCCTGTTTGAGAAGTCAAATGACAGGGATTTCACCACCGCCACCCCCGTACCTTTGTTTTGTAAGCATGCTGAGTTACATCCCGGTGTGGGCAGTATTTTTAAACCTGAAGACGGCACAACCTAGATGGATTCATCTAAATACTACTCGTGACTTGGTAAGGGAAGAGCTGCGTTTGAGAGCAAGAGGAAAGGGAGACCTTAGGCTGCTCAGCTTGGGTATAGTCTGAAAGATTTTAACACCCTCCTTCTGTCTTTGTGCTTTTTTGTACCGTGGTGTCTGTGGTGCACAGAACAATGTGCAACCTTGGAGCTTTTCAAGGTAAAAGGGAGTGCTCACTTTGGGCACGCTCTGTGGCTGGAGTTATCGGAAGTGTGGAATACAGCCAGAGAGAAATAACGAGGTGTTTGTGTTCTAACAATCGGACTAAGAGAATTAATTTTTAAATACTTTTGCACAAGCTTAAAAGTACCTGTTGACTTTCCGAGTGTGTTGTTGGGACCTACCAACAGAAGAAAATAGGATCTCTGTTGAGATTTTGTATATAATATTCTATATAGTAATTGGAAACTCTGATGTGTACTGTTCGTGAGGACTGTGTAGGTTTTCCATGAAGAGAACTCGCACATTTTTCACACCCTGAGTTTATCAAGTTTGTGTTGGAAGAAGTAACATATGGTACATGTAAATCTGTGATGTTTGAATTAATTTATTTTTTTTTTTAGATTAAATTGGTGCTTGCCTTCCCTACTGGGAATAGCGTCACAGGGCGCTATTCCTTTAGCTCTGCAAGATTTCTTTTAGTTTTGGAATGCCCGATAGGGATCGAAAGCTAATTCTGTTTGTCTTGGGTTGCTGATGAGTATTGGAGAAATACTGAACCACAGCGCCTCGAGTTCCTGAGTTCAGGATCTTATTTGGATCAGAAATAACACAACTACTGCGAAATATTAGTTTGCTGCTAATGGGCAACAGCTTTGGCGCTTGAGCACGACTGCGAGAGGGGAAGAGCTGCCGTGTCGGTACCAGCCCCACTGACCTCAGAACACAAACCCTGATAAGCGTGCCCGCCGCCGCTTGTCTCGGATGGGAAGGAAAGGCTGAACAGATCCGAGAAGGAATTATTCCCGGTCCCAGCCCTGGTTTACAGATGACGAAAGGGTTTTTAATCT